ATTTTGGTCAATGACATGAGACAAAGTACAAAGTATATGTGAACTGCTGTATGAAAAGTGAATTTACTCTGTAAATCTTCACCCAAATCCTAATTAAAAAAAAAAAAAAAGAAGAATGTAGAATCTGTAAAACATCACATAACATGGATGAACTTAGAGGACATTATGCTGAGTGAAATAATAAGTCAATCACAGAAGGAAAAATACAGCATAAGTTCATTATTGTAAAAAGTCAAGGAAAGGTTTATATATGGAAGGAAACTTTCTTTGTTGGTTACTAGGGGTTGGAGGGGAGGAAATACTGAAAAAAAAGAAAATATGCATTGACCCATGTCACTTTAGTTTTGTGTATTTCACTGTACATAAATTATCTGTCAATAAAATGTAGTTAAAAAAAAATTTCCCTTAAAGACTAGAAAGTTGGCAGTTCTTATTCTACTATAGCAAACCAGCTGATTAAACTGATATATTCTTATAACTCAAACTATATGCTCACCTACAGAGAATTTGATTAAAAAAAAATCAGGCTATTAAACAGCTTTAGCTACTTGTTACACCTTTTTCAGCACTGCGTCACACACACAAAAAAAAGCTAAATCAAGGTTTAAAAAAAAAAGGTACAAGTCAGATTGCTTGAAAGCAGAAAGAGAACATCACCATGATATGCTGTTGCTGTTGAGAGCCATCAAGTGTTTCCAATTCACAGCGACCCCACATGACAGAGCAGTACTCCCCATAGGGTTTCCTTGGCTGTAATCTTTACAGAAGCAGATCTCCACATCTTTCTCCTGAGGAGCCGCTTGTTATGTTGTTGTTATGTGCCGTCGAGTCAGCCCTGACTCATAGTGACCCCTCCTTGGGTTTCCGAGGCAGTATCACTACGGAAGTAGGATTGCCCAACCTTCCTTCTGAGGAGTGGCTGGTGGGTTTGAACTGCCAGCCATCTGGTTAGCAGGCAAGTGTCTTAGCCACTATGCTACCAGAGCTCCCTCAATTCTTCTTAGGTCTTCCTTATTCATTGTACAACTTTCAAATGGAGCCGCTAGGTGGATTCAAAACACCAATCTTTCGGTTAACAGCCTAGTGCTGAACTGTTGCACCACCAGGGCTCCCACTATGATACTAAGGGAAGGTTAATCACTCTCCAGTAAACTCCAACAGACTATATCTGAGAACAAGCAGGCATTGGACTTGCATAAACTCTATTCAGATAAAATCATCTAAATCTAGAACGTTCAACACCAATGATTATTTTGCAGTTATAAATCCTATACAACTGGCCAAACTTGAATTAAAACCTTTTCTTTAAGAAATATTTAACTTACTTGGACTTAATCGTTTAAAGTTAGGACTCTTAGTTACAGTTATTTTAAAACCTGTACAACACAATGTTGTCCTCACAGAGCTTCTATAATGTGGTTGTTGTTGCTGTTGTTATGTGCCATTGAGTCAGCCCCAACTCATAGAGACCCCTCCTTGGGTTTCCGAGGCGATATCACTATGGAAGTAGATTGCCCAACCTTCCTTCCAAGGAGTGACTGGTGGGTCTGAACCGCCAGCCTTCTGGTTAGCAGTCAAGTGCCTTAGGCACTATGCTACCAGAACTCCTATATTGTGGTTAGTTTTTTATTAAAAATAAACTTATTTTGAAAAAAAAAAAGTTACCTTAAAAGCAAATAATATTACTAAAGCAAAGATTCTCTTTTTGGAATCAAGTTAACCCCAAGCATTTAGTTTATATGGTCCAAAAAACGTTAATACCATACCATTTAAATCTGCATTTTCAAATCTGACCCAGACTATTTTCTCCTTTTCTTCCGTTAGAGGTGTCCCACTGTAAGCCTGCAAGGTAAACATAAACATTTGCATAAAATCATTTTACAGCTTTAATATTACTGGTGCACTAAACAAAGAATCATTGAAAGAAAGTTGACCCCACCCTCTCCATTTTCACCACCCAGAGGATTCTGGTAAAGCACATTCTAGAATATCATTATACTCAAAGAAAGTTGTCCAGGACTCTGACCTAACACTGATAGCCTGGACTGGAAAAAAGCAAAACATGTTTTTAACCTATTAAACAAAAACACACACACACACACACACACACTGCCACCAAGTTGATTCCGACTCATAGCAACCCCCATTGGGTTTCCAAGGCTGTAAATCTTTATGGAAGTAGACTGCCCCATCTTCCTTCTGTGGAGTGGTGGGTTTGAACCACTGATCTTCAGGTTAGTAGCCAAATGGTTTACCCACTACACCACCATAGCACCTTTCTAACTTGTTGTTGTTGTTGTTATGTGCCGTCGAGTCGCCCCGACTCATAGCAACCCCTCCTTGGGTTTCCGAGGCATTATCACTACGGAAGTAGGATTGCCCAACCTTCCTTCCGAGGAAGGGATGACAAAAACCTAAAATACAATGATCTCAGTCCATATGAAGTGTCACTGAAATTCAAAGGCATTTAAAAAACTAAATCACCCCTAAATTTTGCAATAAGAAGGCTTAGGACATAAACAAAACTATCACACTTATTTAGGAGCTCTGGTAGCACAGTGCCTAAGGCATTTAACTGCTAACCAGAGGCTGGTGGTTCAAACCCACCAGCCACTCCTCGGAAGGAAGATTGGGCAATCTACTTCCGTAGTGATACTGATACTGCCTCTGCAACCCAAGGAGGGGTCACTATGAGTCGGGTCCCACTGGAGGGCACATAACAACAACAACATCACACTTATTTATTTAGTTACCAAGGATTTATGGTCAGACAATTAACACTTTACCTAGACTTTTTAAGAGTATTACTTTTTCAGTTTCTTATCTGGCTTCCAGAGCCAACCTATCAGCTACTTAATACAAGTCTGCAAGGGTCACAAAGATAAGTATATAGTCTGTGAAGCCTTAGGCAAAGTGTCAACAGTACCCATCAGTATTCAAAGGGAACCATCTCTCTATAAAGCACATCTTTTTATTTAAAATTTTTTTAAATTGTATACAATTAGAAGTAAAGAAGCTCTGGTGGCAGTAGTGGTTAAGGCATTTGGCTGCGAACCAAAAGGTCAGTGGTTCAAACCCACCAGCTGCTTTGCAGAAAAAAGATGGAACAGTCTGCTTCCATAAAGATTTACAGCCTTGGAAACCCAATGGAGGTCACTATGAATCGCAATCAACTCGGTAACAGTGAGTTTTGGTTGTTTTTTTATAAAATATTCAGAAGTATTCAGAATGTCAACAGAACAGGTACAACATTGTGTGTGTGTGTATGCGTGTGCAATTATAGAGCAGAATTCAGTTCACAGAATATTTCATATAGTTGCCATGAGTTGGCTCCTACTCAGGCAACCCCATGTACAAGAGAACAACACTGTTGCCTGGTCCTGCACCATCTTCATGATTTTTGGTATGCTTGAGTCCATTGTTGAGGCCACTGTGTGTTCTCAGTGTCTTCCAACTCAGGGTGCTCCTCTTCCAGCACTATCTGGGAAGTACTCTCTTGTCATTCACAGGGTTTTCAGTGGTGAATTTTCAGAAGTAGAGCAGCAGGTCTTTCTTCTGAGGCACCTCTGGGTGGACCCAAACGTCCAACTTTTTAAGTAGCAGCCAAGCACATTAACTGTGTCCACCACACAAGGACTCCCATTACACACCAACACCAAAATCAAACGTACTGCCATCAAGTCAATTCCAGCGCACAGTAACTCCATGTTTGTCAGAGTAGAACTGTGCCCCTAGGGTGTTTAGTGGCTGTGATCTTTCAGAAGTAGATTGCCAGGGCTTTCTTCCAAGGCACCTCTGGGTGGATTCAAAATACCAACCTTTTGGTTAATAGCCAAGCACTTAACCATTTATGCCATTACCTTTAAATTTCCAAGCCAATTTACAACTTACTAAACCAAACAAAGTCAATGGCTATTGACTCACAAAAGACAAGCTTATCAGAATATAGTTACACTGGAAAATGATTTTATATAACCGGTATTTCAATAGACATTTTTTAAAACAAGTGAGTTGTATATAGGACAGTTGATTGTTTTACAGAAGAGGAAAACTTGCACTAAACCTAAACCAAATCAATTGCCATAGAGTCAATTCCAACTCACAGCTACCCTATAGAACAGAGTAGAACTGTTCCATAGGGTTTCCAAGGCTGTAAATCTTTATAGAAGCAGACTGCACATCCTTCTCCTGTGGAGAGACTGATCGGTTCAAACCACAGATTTTTGGTTAGCAGCTGAGCTGATAATTCAAACCCACCAGCCACTCCTCACGAGGAAGGTTGGGCAATCTACTTCTGTAGTGATACCTCCTC